TGCCACATCCACAAGGTGACACTATTATCAAAACCCACTGCTTGATCAAAGGCATTCCCAATTATACATTCTTCCTTCATCCCATCTTCCCTGAATTAAGAAAAGAAGATGAGAGGCTMTGAAAAACAAAGAGATTATATGTGGGCAAGAAATCACCTGAAAGAATTCAACAGCCAATGACCAATTATAATCAGCTACTGGAGCAACCAGTATTTCCTTCTGTGCCTGTAATTTCAGCCATGCTACTCACAACAGCCCAATGCTGGAACCACCAGAATGCAAAKGTTGCCAGGTGAGCAGGCCTGATTAGGAACACTTGGAATTGCAGGCTGTCCATCATGGACAGCTGGCCAAACTTTCTTAGCAATTTAGGAATTCTGTGCCCAGTCTGTTTCCACACAGCAACCAGTGCCCGTCAGTCTTGTCTGAAACAGCTGRTCATAGTGCAAAGTCTGTCCYACCATCACCCCATTTCACAATTCAYTCTTTCAAAGTGAGAAGGAAGAYGACGACTTTTGGTCAATAACTCTGACAAAGCCATTATCCTTGGGGTATTAAATGGGGAGATAAGAACTTCAGGGCTTTGCACAAATCATATTAGTTCAATTCTCAAATCCGGGTAATGCTTCTTTTCAAAGTATTAATTTCATTTATTCTATTTGCTCTCCCTCTGTCCTGATAACACAAGTGCACATGGCCCCTAAATGAGATCCTCCTATTTTATAAGTTATAATCCTCCCGTTCTAGAGTAGTAATGAGATGTCTTCGCTTAATCGCTTTTATTCCCCCCCCCCTCCTGCTTTTGCTTTTATCCATTCCCATTCCACATTGATTTGTCTTAAAGGTTTCAGCAAAAACCATCAGGCAGAGTCACTGGCTCCAAGAGGCTCCCAATGCACATGCTGCACATGCTGCTCAACCTTCAGAGATTACAAAAGCAAAAAGGAGGAAAAAGAKCAGCTTTGTTTGCAAAGTTTCCTTTATTGGTAGGAAGGAGGAAAAAAGAAAAGAAACCCAAAAGAATTGAGAAGTTAAGAGAACATGTTTTGATTAATTGGAAATGAAAGAGAAAGACTTCTGGTATAGGGGAAGGGTGAGACTATTCACAACATAGTGAAGCAATTTAACTTGACTGACAACTTTGCAAGTTCTTCATGCTAGAAATAGAAAAGGATTTAAAGATAGCTATGTTAATTCTTGGGTATTTCACACTATACTTAAGGCACACCACCAGCATTAGTTAAACACCCTAGGCCTTGCTCTGAAGTACTGTACATGTAATCCTGGTTGTGTTGTAAGTACCCACAGCATTAAATTATTCAAAGAGTCCAGTCAGCACCATGATCCTGCAGCGCTGTACAAACAAACAAAACATTTTATCTCTAATACAAATTGGGGAGAGTTCTTCTACAGCAGCTTAGCAGACTACTTCCATTTGAGCCAGTCCCCAGGGTTAATCAAAAAGCCATATTCATTCAAAGAGGAAAGTGAATGCTGCACTATTACTTACAGAGCTGTTTTGCTTCTTAAACTAAAGCTGTAAGGAGTTTTACTCAAAACCTAAGGTATCTAGAAGCTAAGTACCTTGTTCAAARTCATTAAAAGAAAAAGAAAGATCAAGAAAAAAAAATGTAGAACAGGACCCAGGTACTTAACGCTAAATCCCTCTTGAAACCAGTACACTTCAAKGAGAAAAGAAAAAAAGGCAAAACAAAACACAAAAAAMMMCAATAAAATAACAGTAAGTTTTAATCTGCATCTTGCCCCATAAACAATCAAGTAACTGGCCCCAGAAGCTGACAGCAAGTTCTCTATCAGGGGTTAATTCTAGTCCACCCTCTCTTCGTGTGCACTATATAATACTKAAGTGCTTATAGCAATATTTCCAATAATAAAAGTCAGTGAGCGAAAATCATAAAGAACAGATTAAATGACAAGCAATGTTCAGCTTTCATCAAAATGAAATCACTTCAAAATAYAGCTATGGTACTTGGATTTATAACAAGTGGTATGGTTAAAGGAGAATGTTCCAGCATTGTTGGAAACAACAGCACAAGAGAGGGCTACTAATCACTAAACTATTGATATATTAAAGGCACAGGGCAGCTCRAGATCTTACTGCAAATACTGAAGAAATAAATAACACAAAACTTTCTAATTATATATGGCATGGTTTTCAATTTTTACCAAATTAAGTGCTGCTTAAGAAGCAAATTATTCATTTGCTATTTCCCTCATGGGAATTGACCCGTTTTTAATCTCACTTCCCTAATTGGTCACAATAGCAGCAAAACAACCCTGGAAGTTTTTCCCTTATCAATGTAAGCAGATAATTTCCATTGCTACCTGCACCTGGATTACCATTAGGTGCCTTGAGTTACACTATCTTCTATCTGAAAGAGAAGGCTGACACAAGGGATGGATGAGCTCACCCCCAGTATTTGCCCCATTTGCTGGGGCTAAAGAACATAAGATCAAGAAACTTATCAAGCCTTATTCCTTATTAAAGAAGATAACAGTACTAGAAGACAAAGGACAGATATGATTTGAGTAGGACTCAGTACAGTAAGGTAACCATGCCCACAAGGAAACTGTAGCTGAGATAAAGGAAGACTGATAGGGATCCCAATAATTTAAGTCTGGCCAAAACAGTTCCTGCTTAGGAAGATATCTAGAAGCTGACAAACAATTGCTCGGCCCTCATCTTTGCAAGGACAGACTAGACTATCCCATTTTTTTAAGGATCCTAAATTTATCACTGATCAAGAGATAGTTAAAGAGCAATGAAATTTAACAGTTTCTCATTCTTGCACCACATTTTCAGCTAACACATCATGGTCACTATTTATCACAAGGGGACCCTGATCAGATTTTTACACAGCATCAAGTATGTAATGCCTGCATATGCAACACTACAGAATTAGAAACTAATTCATATAATAGAACATCTCTTGTGTGTAAGCAGTCAGGTCCCTACTCATTTAGAGGTGCCTTCTTTGCGTTTCACAAATATTGCTTGACTCAGCTAGTCACATTTCTCCAGSATTACTCTCCACTTCATTGCAGGAGCAGGGCTCTACTTTGAGCAAGACCACACCTTTACATTGGACAACAAATCCAACAGCTTCTTCCCCTTCCTCTTACAGAAGCCAGTTAACTGCATTGATAAAGAGAATATTCTCTTTCTAGTGGAAAGAGGGTTAATACTGCACCTGCTGACCCAGATGCCCTATGCAGAGGAGCAGCAGTCACCTGCCTCAGACATCACTACAATGAAGCCCAGCAATGATGCAACACCCCATGGTTAGGATACAATCTGCCCAGAGGAAATTTCCTGTGACACAGTAACCCTTCATAAGCTATCCACCTAGGAGAGCAAACTCAGACACCCACCAATCTAATCATAAATAAATTTTATTATGGAAAATAATAAAAAAAACAGTGAGGTCCAAAACAATAAACAGACCAATTCACAGAAGACCATTTCCTTAAAGGCTGTTAACCACCGAAGTGAGAATACAACCTCTTGCTTTTGAAGCCTTTAAGTCTTAGAACAGCAGAATTTGCAAGGATATAGATGGGAAATACTGTTATATACCTGCTCTGTTCACATGCTCTCCATTAGCAGCTACTAGGGATCACTATCAGAGATGGACAATAGCTATAAAGACCTTTCCTTTGAACCACTGCAGCCATTCTTATATAAATTCTATTTATTCAGTCCCAAAAAAAAAATCTTTATATTACAACCTCAAAATACTTCACATTTTGCCTGGGTAAGCCAGGTCTGTATGCATTCAATATACAGGAAAAAAAAACCCCAAAGCTCAGAAGGATTCTTTGTTTAAATCAAGCACAGATTGACTAAGATACAGATCAGTAACATGGAAGGACCACAGTAAAGACTATCCATTCTCCAGTCTGTCCTTTCCCTAAAACATCCTTTCAGTATCTACTAGGTAAGGAGAATTACTCTTGATCTAGTTCTCTCAACAAAGTTTTAACATCACAGTCCAAATGAATAGGCAATTTGATCTCACTGCAGCAAATATGGTCCCATCTCACTGTCACATCCTGACACCACTGCAGATCAGGAAAAAGTGGCAGCTCCAGTAAGAATCTGCACTGTTTACAGACAGTACACCAACCATTGCCAGAGGAATGGCACTATGTAAAAGAAAATAATATAAAATTGTACCAGGTGAATATTAAGCTCCACTGACAATCCCAGTGTACTACAGTGATTGACAGAATCCTTTTGCTCTACACAGCCTCATCTCACTGTACTTCTGCCTCCAGCACTTCTCAGCACTGCTATGACAGCAACCTAATGGGTCATCTCAACAACACCAAGGTGCCTGACTAATAGTAAAAGCTGCAGCAAGAAGTCACCAAAAGTATGTCTGCCTGCTGGGCAAGAACAAATTGGTTTGGGAGTCAGTGGTGTGTACAAAAAGGGTTTATGCTTCYTAGTCCCTAAAAATCAATCCAAACCTCTTGAAAGGTTACAATACTTGACAGTTTTGTMACAGTTCTTTTGTTAGTAGCATCATGAAAGACTCCAATAAAGAAAGACATTATTACTTATTATTAATGCACAATTATACCCTTGAAAAAACAGAGCAAAATCTCAGGATACATCAGGTCAGCAGAATGTGATCCTGTATGTATTGAAACATTCATTTCATACACTTGAGAGCTGAAAAGAGTTCTCTGTAGCTAGACAAGGACCCCATATACATACACCATATTCCCTGCTACTGGTGAAGCTGTCCCCAGCACAGCCATTGTTCATGCCTTCGCAGCACTGAGTGACATGCTGCAAGTAGAGCTTGCAGCTGCACTGTGAGCCAAATGTTAAGTGATGAGTGAGGTGAGGAGTGTTTCAGCCTAAACCCAACTTTCTATGTTCATCACACAAGTGACATTAAATGAATCCCCTCAAGCAGAGCTATTTTAGCCTGCCCTGCATGAAAACATAGCAGGGGTTTGTTACTCACTACCTGGGCTGTTTTCTGCCTCTTCTCATTAATGTTRTTCCTTTCCTTGGCCTCACTGGCTGCTTCCCTTTCTCTTCTGGCCAGCTGGATCAACTCCTCATGGACCAATGCCTGTTCTTGCTCATACCTGTATGAGCAACAAAAGCAGAGAGAAGGTTATCAGAAGATTTCTGGCATCCGGGTCATGGCTTGTACCCCTGTTTAGAGCCAAAACACAAATCCAGAATCTATTTGACACAAAATCTGCTCATAMTCCCATTATCAGCAGGAATTCAAAAGCCCAACAGCTCTGGCAACAACATTAGGCATAGCACCACATAAGCTTATACTTCAGTTATATTTAGCTCTATTAAGTACTTAATTATCACCYGAAAACAGTGAAAATAGTAAGCAGTTAGCTACCCAAATAGATGCTATTTGGAAAAGATCAAGGGACATACAACGATAAAAGGAGTCAGCCTGGCTGACAATGCTGTTCTKTGGCTCTTCCACAGGATGGAAAAATTGCACAAAATGAATGCAGCAACAGCACTAAGAGAAGCWGTTCAGCCCTGAGCTGAAAAAGGCTTCAAAGGGAACTCTCAGGCATTAAAACATAATCACAGAATTGTTAAGTTGGAAAGGATCAACTCCAACSATTAACYCAATGMCACCATGTTCACCACTAAACCATGCTCCCAAGTGCCAYATCCACAAGCCTTTTGAACACTTTCAGGAATGGTGATTTCACCACTTCCCTGGGCAGCCTGTTCCAATGTCYGACAAGAGTTTCAGTGAAGAAATTTCCCCTCACACCTAACCTAAGCCTCCCCTGCACAGTTTGAGGCCATTTCCTCAGGTCCTATTATTTCTTACCTGGGAGAAGAGCCCAACCCCCATCTGGATACAATCTCCTTTCAGGGGTTGTAGAGCCATAAGGTCCTCCCTGAGCCCTCCTTTTCTCCAGSCTAAACAGCCCCAGCTCCCTCAGCTGCTCCTCACCAGACTTTGTGCTCCAGCCCCTTCCCCAGCTCCRCTGYSCTCCTCTGGACACACTCCAGCCCCTCAATGTGTGTCTTGTCATGAGGGGCCCAAAAATGAACCCAGGATTTGGGAAGTGGCATCATCAGCGCCAGTACAGGGGGACAGCCACTGCCCTGATCCTGCTGGCCTTATTGTTACTGACACAGCCAGGATGTCACTGGCCTTCTTGGCCACCTGGGCWCACRCTGGCTCACRTTCAGCCAYTGTCAAACACACACTCATTRTGCTCAGACTGAAGTAAAACACAGACATATACATACATAGTTATATTCCCAAATGAGCTCAACTACCATCTTTTTCAAGAACTTCACCTCACCTCCTGTAGAGYTCCTGTTCTCCAGCAGAGTCACTTGCCTTTGGTGGCTGAATTCCTAGAAAGGAGAAGAAAAACCCATGACAACTAGTCATAGTCCTTCATCACATCACAATTTTAGGAGAGTTTCATATGATCCATCAAGAAAAAAACAGTTAAGAAAATGTAAGTTTGATGGATAGCATTTGAATTTATGAAACAGTGACACCAACAGCATTATCTTCAATCAGGCACACTGGATAAAGCATGCTGCAGAAAACTTCTTTGTCAGGATATTAACTCCTCAAACTCTTATATATACTGAAACACAAACAAGGTTGTAGACCTACTTTCCATTTCCTTCCTCTAGTTCCACTAAGTCTTCACCTTGACCTCCTGCTCTCCTTGTAATTACAGGGGATTCGACAAGTGGAGATGAAATTATCTGATGGAATTCAGGCCATCCATAAGGCTAAACATACATTCAAGAAAGARATAGGCTGACAGCAAACAAACCCCTAAAAGCAAAGGCCTGGCTCCCTAACTTCATGCAAGTCTGGGTGCCTTAAATAAATCCACACTGCTGATATATATCAACAAAGCATATTTGAGCACCAATAAAAATCAAATMGTTTTCTGACTCATAAAGAAAGATAAATTCAGAAACCAAGTTTTCATCATCCACTTAGCTATATGTGTCTGGACAGACTATCCTTCCCCATGAGCTTCTTTCCAAAGAATRGAAAATGCTATTTCCCTCACCCATGCACAATATACTCCGTGTGTATGTGAAACACACAAGGGAGCTTGCCAGAAAYGAAAGACAAAAGACCTTGTTTACTGCACGTTCATCAGAAATGCTAGAAATGTRTACAGAGTGATACAGGCTAATCAAAGAGCTCCTCTCACAGTGAGGTAGAACTGAAAAATACAGGCRTCCTCTGTCACATGCAGTGGCAGCACTACCCCGACAGTACCTGTAGGTCTGGGTTTCCCTGATGCAGCCAGTGGAGATGGAGCTGTGCCATCGGATGCACGGGGYGATTTCTGGGTGTCCTTTGAAGAGGATTCTTTCATCCGTCTCACTACATCGTCAGTGAGCTGAAACACAAAACCAAGGAAGACATTAAACAAGTCMGTTTCTGGTGTTTTTACTGTGAACCTTCCTGTTCCTTATTCCCAGGATACTACAAAAGTATTGCCAGTTACCTCAYTGCAATGAACCTCCAACCCGGGCAGTCAGCACTTTATATTTTAAAACCCATATCCTATCAGYAAGTGACAAAACCTCCAATCTACTGCCTGACCCTAAAAACTTCACTAGACAATCTTCCACAAACACMAGCAAAGATGGAGAACAACCCTAAGCAAGTCAACCCTTTGTATAGGGAGAGATTTACCAGAAGTGGAAGGAAAGGAACTAAGCAGGTTTTAAGTCCATATATCMATCTTTTTCCCTTCTTGCCCCATGCTTGCTAACCCAGATCAGCAWGGCAGACATGCTGCAACCCATGTAACAGAGAACAGCCACASACACCTCTCATTTACATAAGGGCTGCAAACATTTCTGCAATCCCAACTTCACTCTCACTCCCTGACGCAGGTTCAAACCCATGAAAAAGAAAGAARAGTTAACTTGAAGTCTTCTGGCAATTCAGCCCAAAAGATTTCTCATATCACTGTTAAAATTGACCCCGTCCTCCTCCCAAGGTCAGAGGGTCTGGCTGTASAACAAAATGAAGTGGGGCTGCTCCMCCACCTAGACTTGCCAGTAGAAGATATATTTTCAGCTATGCCACTACTACCCAACTTAACAGCATTTTTAACTTCTTAATTATAAGTTGTTATCATGACMAATTCCTGATTTTAAAGACACAAATCTTTGTCTATATCCTGCAAAGAGAAATKAAGCAAAGACAATTTTACCTCCATCAATCAGTTTTAACAAGAAGAYAGGTACAATCTTAGCTTTTGTCAAATAATTAGTCAAAATAGGATGAAAAATAAGTAGCCACAGCAAAAACACAGTCTATACGTTCATTTCTCACAGATTTTAGGGGTAAATCACATAAAAGTATCAAGCAGCAAGAGTAATAAAAATGATAGTAGTAATTAAAAAAACTCAACGTGTAAAAAACAATAACAAAAAATATTAACGGGGAAAAAAATTCCTTAATGATAGCGCTCTGGAGGGTTTGTTTCCACAACGCACGCTTGTTAATTTCCGACCGAAGGTCAAGAAGCTGTTTCCCACTGCCCGTCCCATTAGCACCTCCCTATTTCCACACGCCCTTATCTCCCCGCTGCTCACACAGCGGTGTTTTGCCCGGCTCTTGGCACCRTGAACAAGGGCAGAGCGGTCTCTTGGATGCCCTCAGAGCCGTGCTGCGCCGTTAGCATCAAACTGCTTGCAAAGCACAAGGCAGAGGCAAAACGAGGTCATTAAACAGCGAGGAGAGAAAGAGGGCTGAGAGCAGGGTTTGGCAGTGGAGATGAAGTGCCGGTGTGTCCCCGCTCAACAGCCGTGCCCAGGCCCCCAGCCCTCGTTCGCACCGCTCACCAGTCGCCCCACCACTTCCCCAGCCCCCTGCTCCGTCAGCCTTCCAGGTTTCCTCCCCTCCTCCTCGCTGGTTTCCCCCACTCGCCCCTGCCAGCCCTGCACCTCCCGGTCAGACCCTCCCTCAGCCCCGCTCCCTCCGCCCCCGGCCCCCGCAGCCTGCCCGCCTCCATCAYCCGGCCCCGCGACAGCTCCGAGCCGCCTCACCCTGATGCCCTGCAGCACTTGGACTTGCTGCCGCTCATCCAGCCCGAAGGAGACCCTCCTGCCGCCATGGGTGCTCTCGCTGCTGCCCATGCCGGCCGGGGTCGCCTGTCCCCGCCGCGCTCCTCTCCAGCACCGGCTGCCAGCAGCGCTTCTGCCCTCGCAGCGCCTGCCAATATACCCGCTCCCCATTGGCGGAGGCCGCGGGACAGCCAATAGCGCTGCGCGGTGCTGGCGGCCGGGCGCGGTGCATGCTGGGGGCTGTAGTCTGTGCCGGGAGCGGGCGGCCCTCCGGGCGCCGGGGAAGCGCAGGGTGCCAATGCGCTCCGGGATAGCGGAGAATCCCGCTCCTGTCCCGGTGTGCCCGCCCTCCGCACCGCCCCGGCAGTGAACGCGGTATCGAAATTGCCCGTAAAACTTTCACTGCTACACGCCCAAGTCACGGCGGTTTCCCAAGCGGAGGAATGACGATCCSTCGTCAGTTACAGCAGCTGCGCTGGGGGCAGAATTCACCGCTTCTTCCAGCCACTCTGTCCAGCAACACCTACCGGGACACACACGGGTGGGTCTGTACAGGTCAGGCCAGCGCTGACACAGTCCCCGTTGTAAGGTATGGCTGATCCACAGCCTGAACCAAAGGAATGAGATAATGCTACACAGAGGCAGCTGGATCAAGAAGTAACAGCTTTGGAAAATCTTTTACTAACAAGCCTTCTGCATTCCCAGAAATATGGGCCCGTTGGTGTCAAGRTGCTACTTATCTACTCAACACACTACTCCTCAGTAGTGCATGGGAGCAGTTTTAACTGTTTTCTGCTTATTTCTCACGGCAGTTAATGTGGCAACCAGAGATTTGCCTCAGAGTGGGACTCAGACCAGCATTTAGAGAGTATTGGGGATTCTCCACCCCCCGAACCCCCTTGCATATCCAGGCCTCTTTTAGAGCACATTCCTGGAAGCAGGGGGTATTTTTACCTGTGCAGTAACCTGCATGCTGGGGACTTGGCCCATTGTTTGAGTTCTCAAGGGCAGTGCATCAAGCACCATCAGCTGTCTGCACCACAGAAACACTGCACACAGCCAGGCAAGAGCACAGGTGAGGCTGAACCACCCTCCCAGAACACATTCACCTGCCTCCTGCTCATTTGTCATTTGCCACCTGCTCACTTCACTTGACTGCATCAGGTTTTTGTACTGAACAGATACTCCTTATTCACTTATTCTGTTCTCTCTCAGGGTTCCACACACCTGCACCATTGCTCTTCCAGGCTGGCAAGTTCTCAACCATGTAATTACTCCTCCAGAAGTCTTTCCATAACTGGGATTATTCCTGTCATCCCTCCCCAGTCCCTTGCCAGATGTAACTCCAGTCAGGTGGCATACATCACCTGCAAGGATCCAGGASGGAGAGCAGGCAAAGGCAAACAAAAAGGCAAACACATCACACCTGTGCCCATGCCTTCCTTCAATCTTCTTYTTTATTTTTTTAAACTTCAAGTTATTTTTTCTCCCCAGTATGTCTCATTTGAGAAATAAAGTACGACCATATATGCCAAACTTAATTTTATTTATTTTACAAACAAAAATATACATTTGTATTTTCTCTCTTTTTACCACCCCCCCACACATAACACACTCCTGCTCAAGAACCACTTCAAAGATGGCCCAAAGCATTATATACACATAAATATACAACAGAAAGAAGGTCAGTCCATGACCTAGTGCAGAAGCTCCTCAGCAGCAGAACCTGGGACACTCCAGAAATACTGGAGTCCTGTGAGCAAAGGACAGGATGGATGTGTCAACAACCTGCACAGGTGATCCTTCAGTGCTGAATTCAGATGGTAAAAACATAAATTCATAACAGGCTMTTCYCATCACCAAGGAGGGCAGATAAGTCCTTTCAGTCAGGATGTTGAAAGCCAACAAATACTCCATGGGATGGAAAAGCAGTCGCTCCTYTAATTCTTAACTGCTTTGAAATCTTMATCTCTCTTGACTCTGTCCAAGGCTCAGGGAAGCTTTGCAGGTTCCCCCAGCCTTTCTAATCAGCAGCAGCTCGAGATCAGTGTTGTAAGCAGTATCAGGAGCAGCAGCAGCACAATATTTCAGGCACCACATCATCCATCCCTTTTACAGCAAGCAATCCAGCRTGGCTCAGGCTGACAACAGTGACAGAGGAGAATGGAACACTTCTSTAACATGGCAAGGGTTGACTTGGCCAGCTGCTTGTACAGCCCTTGCAACCATAGCATGAAGTAGAAATGTGAAAAGCTGTGACCCACAAGAAACTACTCAGTTCTCACACACAGACAGCTGGAAGCCTTTTTTCCCAAAAAGTAAATTTTAAAAGAAAAAAGAAGGGGGGGAGGGTGTCAGTAGGGGCATTGTTTGTTTTCAAGGTGCCAGTGCTACTTACAGACCTGCAGGGCAAAGTCCCCAGGAAGAGAGAGAAGCTGCATTGCTCATTAACAAAAAAAAGATAAGCAAAGGCCTGCATAGTTTTGGCAATCGATATGAACTTCATGTTCTTACCCATGTTTTCTTTCCCTGTGGTGGGAACACCTGGTAAACAAATGCTTTCCTCTACCTGCTAATGATCCAATTTAACACCTCCACATTGCACCCTGCATGACAATTTCCCAGAAACTCTTACCTCAACATTCTTCAGGAACAGCAGTAAGTTGGGGCAAGAGATTCCCACAGTTCCTAAACATTGCAAATTCCCTCTTTCTACCACTCTTAGTGTAAAGTTGATTATACCAGATCTCCACCTACCTGGAGGACTCAGGTATGAAAGCACCCCCAAAGCTACAGAAATACACATCTTCATCCTTGGAAAGCACAGGATATCCCAGAAAACAGACTGATGCAGCCTTTATATGAACAGTCCCTGGATTGGAGCACCATGTCTTGAAACTGCATGCCAGACAGCTCAGACAACAGTAGTCCATTTTCCAGCATGGAAGAGGTTAATAGGAAGCTCTAGATAGTCTATAACAGGACCACTCTCTACATGCACGGAAGTATTTTCAACATATTGAGCCTTAAAACTTACTCACACCAGCAGCAGTCTGGGGATCTGAACTGCAACGTAACACAAGAACACTGCCAGAGATACACATCCATCCCACTGCAGCACACCAGCCAGCTTGATTCCAGCACCACTAAGGTGTTTGAGTTTCCAGACACTAAATTCTGACAGCTCGGACTCATCATAGGYTTCTGCTCTGCCTCAAGCACCTGAATGTCTCCAGAGCCTTCATCTGCAGAGTTATCTTCCTCATTCACAGCACTCTCCGAGCCCCTGCCAAAGCCATGAAGCAGGGTGCAGATGGAAAATGCACCTCCTTCATAGGTTTTACTCTCAAAACTCAGCSCTGATTCAGTGTTGTTACTGAGCTTTTCCTGTGAGCTCAAATGCACAGCAATACAGCCTCCACAGACTGGCTCACAGCTCCTTCAGCTCAGCTAGACAGCAGCAGAGTCTGTCCTTCTGTCTCCCTACTGTTCAGTCACTTCACATCCATGCTGTGAGCTACCAGCCTTCCCCAAATGTTTCCTGGGCACAGAGAACAGTTCATTCCTTCTCACAGCTCTTTTTCCCCACACACTCAGAACACTCATTTAACCATTAGCAACTCCAATTCACAATTTTCACCAGTGTTAGCTGAAACCAGGAGTGAGCCCCAGTGACCAGCTTCCCTCTTCAGACACTATCACCACCGGTGCTATTGCATTATGGCAAGATGCAGGCAGCCATGCTGCTTGAAAAAGCCCAGGAAGACCATCTTTGGTTTCAACCACCAAAATCTTTCTATATATGTACAATACAGCAGTCAAATCAGCACCCTCRTACCTAAATCATTCCCCTAAGTGGCAGACAAGTGCTTTCAGTCACTGAAAAGGAAGAGGTGCCAAACAGGGCTATCTTCTGGGTCGTATTCACATCTGGAATGTGGAGCATCAGGAAAGTTCAGTGTTTAAACATTTATGAACAAAACTGCTCTATATTGTTCTCAGGTAGAAACAGAGAGTGTTCTTTCCAAAGGGTTTGTGCTGCCAACTTAGTTCCACGAGAGGTTTTGGAAATCCTAAGGACAAGAAGAAAGCCATGGCAGGTAGCCAAGGACAGATTTCCAGTGGACATCCTAACAGCTGTGGTATCAGGGAGTTTGGAAGGAAAGGCATGAAGCATCATGTGGTTCAGGTGCCCTGCCTCAGGCGTTGATGGATTTCCAGCGGTCACTGTCTATGCTGTTGATGCTGCCCACGTGGTAGGGCATAGAGGCCACGTCATCCAGGTAGGCTGCAGTGTCAATCTGAGTGCTCGAGTAGAAYCCAGAATCCATTCCTTCCTTCTTGGCAACAGCATAAGGGTGGGGTAGGTGCACATCCACATCCTCAGGTTCRTCCACCTGACATTTGTAGGAGAAAAGGATCTTCGGTTCAGACCTGGARTGAAAAAATATTTAAAATGCATGTTTAACCAATGCGGTATCACAGGCACCTCTCCTTAATTGAAACTCATCAGCATTAAGAAATCGTGCATTCAGGTCTTAAACACCCTTTAAAAGAGCTTTTGGTCTAGAAATTTGTGGCAGAGTAACTGCCATAAAGTAATGCTAAATGAAGCTTTGCATGAAATCACTTAAGAGAAAYACAAATGGCAGAATCCTAACTCTAGTGTGGGAAAAGTGTTGTCATAYTTGGGACTTTTGAATTACTGAGGGCAACAGCACCCAAACACCACTGAATTCCACAGCAGCCTGGCTACTGAAACCAAAATGAGTCAGAACAGGAGTCCAAGTTCCACCTGTATGCAACCAAAATGCAAACACTGCTGGATCAGCAGTTCTCACCTTTTAACTCCAAACAGTGTTCCCTCCTAATTTCAAAGGSATGTAGAGGTAAATTTTTATATTTTAGAAGTACTTTATGTTCTTAGTTATTTTTTAAAGCCTGTTATTTCTTGCTAATGACCAACAATGACTACACTAAACCACTCTGGTTTTCCTAGCAAGGTGCATTTCCTGTGAGTAGCCACACGGCGGCRACCCCGGCCCGGGAATGGCCCTTCMCASGGCTTTTCACGAGTGATTTTGGGCCGACGGTAGCAKCCTCAGCCRAAGAGTTACTCAACCCCAACATCCTTTCTACAAACTACCATAACCCATCCAGACGACCATTTAAGCCCCCAGGACTTAATCCTTCATTAAGCATTTAGCTATCAACTTCAGCAGAAAAACTTCGTACTAAGCAGAATGCTGAGGCTGAAGAAGTGATCCTCAGAACACTGTGAGAGGAATACAGCCATCAGCTCTGCTCTGCATACAGAGGAGCCCTCCTGCATAGCAGTGAGCAGCCATGGGTCACACAAGAAATTCTTCAAGGGCAGAAATTAAGACTGGYTCTCTAACGAACATTCTAGTTGCTGTCTTTATTATATAGATTGAGAGAACCCAAGTACAAAACAATTTGATGACAATATATACCAGTCTAAACTCCTGTTCAYGGCTACTCACCCAAAGAAGCCTTTCAGGAATGCCACATAGATGAGAGGAGCAAAGAAGCTGAAGTAAAGGAACGTGGTARCATCAACACAGCTGTCAACAGCAAAAGAGAACATGAAGGGATTTAGCACTCAAGCACAATACAGATAGGTAACACCACTCACATCCTCCCAAATGATCCAGTTTCCCTCCAAAGTGTCCAGAAATCGAGAAAAATCATGCTAAATAAATTTAAACAGATGCAAAGTAACAGCCATTCTCATCAACATGACACTGCAGCTTCTAGATACTCAGGGGAACCATGAMAAAACCCAAGGTCTTGACCAAGAGCAGTCTCCCAATACTGACTCACAGATGTGACACTGATCCCTGCAGAATGAGACTCCAGATACAAGAGTGTCTCTACATTGTTAGCAAACAGACTATTTCTCTCTTAATGGTCAGGCATCGGTGGATTCACACTATTACTCTCATTCACCACTTCAAGACCACTGCAGCACATGCAGCACCATAACCTCTCCACTGGGAGTTTCCTGATCACTCAGAGGTCTTTTGGCACAAAACAGAGCCAACAGATTTATTCCTTCTTAGGCACACAGAAGRAGGTTTGTTTTCTTGGGAGTGGCAGTGTTGAAGGATACTCAAAAGCAACACAAGATCCAGGCTGCAGACCTCCTCCCCCAGTGTACATACCACAGTCCTTCTATGATATCCACACAGAGGAGGGCACTGCCCAGGCCCTGCAACAGGTTCAGCAGTGCCAGGATGCCAGCATAAACATAAAAACTCTTCCTGGCTGTGGGGAAGACAAGGATACAGATGAAGCTCAACCTCAAACACCAGACTAGTAGAAATCTGTTTGATGGAGATGCCAAGCCCAACAGAAGCTTCTCACCACCTTGTCTCTTTGAAAACTGCTGAAAAATTAAGACTGCATTTTTCTGTCCYATGCTGGCAGGATTGATGGTGGTATAATGGACTAAACCATATCCTCCTGCATATGTAGATACACACACAAAAGGGTTTTTTTGCATGTGGTTATGGCAACACATGCAAAGATTTACTTGGCAAGCATCTGRAACCAGTGTCAGTCACATAACTGAATGCAAGAAAAACAAGGACAACCYAGCTGAACCAGAAGCTGTGCCTTTCCAATGTTCAGCACAAATAAAACTGCTCAGGAGACCCCAACAGGAGCAGCAGGGTATGCTGGACACCAGGCAGATCAGGCTCAGGACCTGTGCCTGTGACATGTGACATACATATCCCCTCCCTCAGGGTACCCACACATGGATGCCAATGCTAGTTAGGGAAGAGCTCAGTGCAAACACCTTAATAACAGCCTCTCTACACAAGAACTGCAGATATTCTGCAACATCAAAAACCAAACAAATGGAAGCATCTTAATAGAAAATTGTTGAGCAGCCTCCACTCAGCCTTCCCTTCCCAGGGGATGACCAGCATGCACACTTAAACATCACGTGTGCATTTCAAAGGAAGTTGTTACTAAAGASCCATTTCTTAAGGCTCTCAGAAGATTATGTCTTTACATTATACCTGTATCATTAACTGAGCAGTGGTCTTGTTTTCTCAATGTAATTATTTAGGTACTAAAGTAGCAGAGTAACTGCTCTTTCTCTGCTCTCCAAAAGACACAACATACTAATTTATCCAGGCATAAGTTATCAGTCCTTTGCCATCTTATCTGAACCCTGARGCATGGAATGCATCTGCAGCACAAACATATAGGACCCTTTTACTGCCACCTATGCTTTATCTTGATGCTGTACCCATCTCTACTATGGGAAACACTACAGTTACTTACAGGGCAAAGAAATCCGGTCTTTCAGAGGAGTTTTCGGAAGAATCACCACCAAGGAATAGACCTGTTGAGATGAAGAACTAACAGTTCCATGGTTGCTTGGCAATTGAACTCAACAATCTTTGCAGGAATGGTGTGTGGTATCCTGCACGCCCTGGATGTCTCGGGCAGAGGTACAAACGCCCGATATTAAACATGAAACAGATGTGAAGGCCCCACAACTCACCCGCCTCAGCATTAAACAGCAGGTCACTGAGAAATGAGGGAAGAAYACCTGAGTTCAGCTGGAACTCAGCTGCCCCAGCCTACACCAGTCCCACTGCACCTTTATTGCTTCAGCTTCCCCGTCCATGAGAAGCATCAATGCTGTGCTGTATGAGGCAGGAGGGGGATTAGGGCATTATAGTACTCAAATCATCTTCCTTGCTCCATTTAGAAAATACAAAGAAGCAATCAGAGTGCATAACATTCCCAGTACTTACCAGAAAAAAGAAACAGGAGCTGGCAAGCCAAAAGTGTCTCCCTCCATGKCCATAGATATTGAAGTCTTCTGCTGAGAGGTGGGCATCAGGGTACAGAATTTCCAGGGTGCCCTAGGAGAGRAGTGGCACCAATGCAATTCTGTTACAGGCAGTATCCTCACTGAAATGTGTGTATGGACAAGGGAAGACATGCTCAAAGAAGTTCAGAAAACAGCTTGCCTGCCCCCCCCATGACCAAATCAAGCTCTGCCTTGCTTAGGCCAAGCTATGCTCACACAGAAGAAGAAGAAACTGACGACAAGATTGAGGGGAAAATGTGGCAGGAATCTGCAGGAAATTGGCATCAGTGACTTTACAGAAGAGAGACTGAAGTGGACAGAGTATGCAAGAACTTATCTGTCTAAAACAGACCAAGAGATCCATTTCCATCTATGAAGTAGACCTTCCTGCTGAAAYATCCAGATATAGTCAGTTTGGGAAAGGACACTGTCTTGTTTAGGAGCTACCACACAAACAGTGGAGAGAGAAGCGCTTGTAAGAACTACTGAACCCAGATATAGCTCAAACACTTGACATTTTATGAGGCTCCTCCAGCTTTATCATGTGGTAATGATCAGCTCACTGCCTCTGCAGCCAAGAGCCTGGTCTCAGAACAAAGCTCTGTGTGTTATTCTGGCACTGCCCTGAGTATAGAGACATGGGCTGACCACTGACATGCTGAGGAGGAGAATAAACCCAGACACAGATTGCATTGTTCAGGGACATGAAGACATGCCTAATAAACTGAGCCAGCAAGCCAGCTGCTAGCTTGAAGAGAAGCAAGAGCTCTCAGCTCTCAAACACTGAGCTGACAAGAGGCCACTGCAGTGCCCTTACCTGGCAAAGCACATGGTTCTCATGGCCCTTGAGGCCAGATCCAGAACTTGTAGATCAGGTGTGCAAAACCTCACTCTTGCTGTGAGGTTCACTAAACAAGGCAATCCATGCAAACCTCATCTTATTTCTTCACCTATCTGAGCTATTAATGCAGTCAAGAGAACAAGCAGATACTATGTGCTTAAACACCGCCATGTGCATTCAGCTTGCTCCAAAACCTTACCCAAAGAGCAAAGCTGCCACTTCCAGATAAGAGTCACACACTTAACTGCTCAACTTCAAGCACAGTCCCTTCTTTTTGCAAAGACTAATTCTTCTGCTTCAACRTACTCACCTGGGTGACAGAATATGCCAGTGACAGCACAGTGGTGATTGCCAGCACACGTTTCACGCTCGACTTGCTCTCCAGGTGACCTGTAATTATGGAATACAGAAGTGACTTAGGATGCAATCCCAGCTCTGGTTAAAATCAGTTCTTTCCAGAACCAATAAAGGAAAACATTTCTAGAGGCCTTAGGGAAGGTTAAAGCTGACTAAACCCTGTTTGGAGAGCTGAGCCTTTCACAGGCAAAATCCTACTTACAAAACAACAGATCTTAGCTTTCTTTTCTCTCATCCACACTAATGTAGAGAAAACAACTAAGTGCTTCTGCTGAGGTTACAGAAAAARAAAAGGCAGGAATTATTCCAGCATCATTTACACTGAGATATTATAAAGCATSTTCTCAGGAAAAAGAATTGATGAGAAAGTGGGGTAAAGAATACACTGAATATACTGTGGAATATACTGAAGCAGGCCATCTCCAGAAAYGCCTTCCAACCTAAATTATTCYRTSAGCTCRCAAAAGATGAAAATTATACTGCTCAGGTGTCCCTCTAGCAGATGCAATAGCCGTATCTACCAACCCCTCTCCTCTACCTCTGACCCACAGGAAGAGGCATTTTCACTTGCACAACTGAATAAAGTAGGATTACAATTGCAGGCACAGATAAATGTAATAAATGTACCTGTACATTTGAATGCAGCCAGGATGCAATCAAATCAATCAAGGATGGGATAAAAGGRATAGAAGTGCCCCCAAAAGGACCATCTTAAATAAATTCAGGTGGAAGCAAATATCAGACTGTTGATCTTAGCATTAAAATCTTACCTAAGCTGTACACTCCATTGCATGAGTRCAGGACAAAGCAAGCACATATAAACCCTTAAATTGCACAAGCCATAGATCTGTAAACATAACCAGGCTTTCAGATACTTCTAACTAAAACTCCACRATTTGCACTTTGTATTTATTCTACAGCCTCTTCATTTATAGAATCAGCATCTCCATGAAATTACAGATGCAGCCTCTATGGAAAGAAAGGGAATATGCAAAACCAAAAGCACTCGAAAACCTCTTGGCACATACCAAAGGCAAGGCCTAGAATCACCACACTCAGTTCAATTGCCAGAAGGAAGAACCTTGTGATCTCCCACAGGATCTGAGGGATAACAGAAACCAGACAAACATGATTAGATGGAGCCAGGAACCAGTTTGAAGTTAATAAAGCAGAACTCTAGAGGATGGCAACCTCTGAATGGCCAGTCATTTCCACAAGCCCTCCTCACTCTTTGTGGGGGTACTGATCACATGCTTATTCCAAGMCCTGTTTGTGCCTATGAAACAGAACAGTTGTGTGGGAACGAGCAAATAGCAGATCTACARAGAGGAAGTGGCCATGGTTTACCCCAGCTGAGGATCTGTCACTTGTGTGTTCCTGCTGCTGTKCTCCCAAAGAGCACAAGCCCATGATGACCTCAAAAGTATAGTATTAAACAAAGTCARTTCTTAATGTAGTAGATATACCTGAGTAAACCCTTTATTCTGTCCTCTTCCAAAGCTATTGGTCCTTAAATCTAAAGCCTATTCCAAGATAAAGCACCACCCCCGTTCCAGCCTGTCATTTGCAATCTCACATTTTATTTCGTGAAACAAGACCAACAAAAAGCAGGTCAGGCAACTTTTCARGGAGTCATGCAATAAATCAATGCCAAACCTAGAAGAAGGACCCAGATGCTGGCTTATTAACCCTTTTCCTTTGAACACTGAATGGTAGTCTCTCTTGAAGATACAGAATATTTTCAGAGGCATTTGATAAAACACTTCTAATCTCAGCAAACATACAATGCGTGTGTGTGCATATATATGAGACTACAAAGGTAATATAATAGACAGGATAGAACATGTGTTTACAGAAAAAACTGTCAGAGTATCTGTATTGCTACATGATATCCCAATTGCTGCACTTAGCTTCGAACMAGAGCTGAAGAAAAACACCTTTCCACCTCTTCTTCATTATTCAAGCCCTAGACCTACATCTGTTGGACAGAGGTGAATGAAAATGCTACAAGCAACCAGCCCCTCACAACAGCAGCTCATCACAATGCTTTGACAGTCACATTAAAGGGAAAAGCAGAACCACACTGATCCCAGAGAATAAAGCCGAAGACCTGTACTCTGTGGGTGGTTCCTCTTTCCCTAACAGCTCAGAAACTGCACAGCTTTTTGTTTTAAGTAATATTCTGCTACAAGTCAAATTACTACAAAGGAAAAGCACATACAAAGGTATTTCCTGTTTGCTAAAGGTTCACCCTGTGCTCAGAGTGGCTGCAGGGACATTCAGGTGTCAGTCTCAAAAGGGAAGTTGGTTTTATTTGCATTTAATACAAAAAAATTAAACATTTTCAAAGAGCAATTATAATACTGCAAGAATAACAAARGCCAGGTCTTGCCTATCCACTCAAGGTATCTGAATGTTTACCTCTTGCAATAAAGAATCATATCATCCCTGTAACAGGAAACTCTTGCTGCCACAATTTGTGTGTCTATTTCAGGAAACCCATTGTTTTACCATCCTGGATGTCACTATGATTTAGATCCAGCTATCAAAACAGGATTMCATAGTACACATAGCTACAAGTACTGAAAAAAAACCACATTCTTCTCGTACACACGTAAGAGGAAAGCCAGAGCAGATTGCTGTAATCAGCCTCTAAAGACAGTGCTGCACCTACCTTGTCAGCAACCATGGCAGCATCAGAGGCRCTCACAGTCATGGAGACAACAGCACGGGCAATGCCAACTAAAGCCACCACAAATACCTGCAAAAGAAGAGCAAAAGTGAGCTCAGGTCAAAAGGCACATATGCAGTAGAGATGAGAAATCCTTTTGGAATACCATTTCCAGGTCAGCTTTCAAGCCTGATAACATGTATTAACAATTTCCTGTAGCAGACTASAGTTAATTTTCTGAAAGAGATTCCTCAGACCTGTTAGATCAGAGTACTGCCTTAGAATTTAGGAAGGAACAATTGCCTCACTGTCAGATTAATCTCCAAAGTGTTCTTCACCCAGTCTTTTCAACAGGATCTTAAGAGTCTTCCCATCCTTCAGTCCACTGGGGCAGGGGAGGGGAAAAAGAAACAGAAAGAAAACATATCCCTCTAAATTACAGAACCAAACGGTTGGTATGTTTGACTAAACCAATTACATCAGATGCAGAAACCACTCAATACCAACTACCACCTTTCACAACTGTGACAAAACTAAACCTGCAGTTCCCTCACTCCACAGTGACAATGCTCAGKAACACAGAGGAAAACTCACCTGCAGTAACCAGCTTTAAAACATCTTACCCTTTAAAACACCTTTGCTGCACAGTGCAACATAGAGAACCTAAGTCCCTTTACATACTATTTTTAAGCATGACAGCTCAGCAAGGCTCAGTTACTAACCCCTGTGCTGTTCACAACCATGTTATGCACTTGAGAGCTCAGTTGGATRTATCTACAATTCACTGTGGAGAATTACACTCTAAAAAAGCTCATTTTTCCAGATGAAATTCTCTGAATCACAAGCTGATTCTAATGATRAAGGCAGGAGACAGCTAAATCTATCAAAGAATCAAGAGTCCAAGCTGATTCTAAGGTGGTTACAGAATGAAAATGACCAATATGTCACCAACAGATCAGTACCTCCTTCTTAGAGAAGGGACAGCAGTGGTATGGAAGAACACAGCAATCTCTCCTGTGGTGGAAAACTCCATTACAAAACACTGACAAAAAAGAAGGGTCCCTGAATATAATGGTGTTCAAGAGCTGCAACAACTCTCTGGAGAGGAACACACACTCAAGATCATCAAGTCAGGGGCCACTTTGATATGATGGGTAAGAAACTAACAGGGTTGGGTTTCTACATTCCCAGACTGAYCAGAACCCTGTCACCATATTCTCATGCAGATGATCAAGCTTTTCAACAGCTTCACACAAATTATTCTCCACTATTTCACTTCYACTGCATCAATGAAAAGCTGGGTTTGTGTCCCATGCTACTCACTGCAAGGAGCAAAGAAAGTGTAAGATACTAGATTCCAAGACATAAAAGCAACAAAAGAAGAGAAAAGGAAAAGAAAAAAATTAAATCACCACAGAAGAATAAAATCCACCCAAATCCAGCAGATATTGTCCCAGAACTATTAAAAGTTGACTTCAGAGAGTGCAAAAAAAGTCTGTGTCTACTTCTTGTAATAAACCTTCAACGAAAAGCAGATTTTATCCCTGCAAGAGCTCCTCTAGGCTCTCTCCACTAGTTCAGCAACACTGGTCATCAGTGGTAATAAAAAAACACTCATCAGTTCAAAGGCACAGAGTGATACTCACTAGTATGTAGAATGTAGTGAAGATTGGGCTGGAAGTGACCCGGATTTTGGCCCTGGCAGAGGGCAGCTTCCAGAGAAGAAACATAAAGAAAAGCACATTTGGAACCAGGAGCAGAAGATCCCAGTAGCGGACCCTGCAAAAAGAAAATAAAACAGGCTTTATCCATGTTCCTCAGCCTCTAGAAGGGAAGGCACAGCCCTGGTCTCTTCTCAACTAAACTGAGAAACAAAGTTGTTTCCTATGGCCCAGGGTCACACTSTGGTCCCATTTCCTCCAGCTCACCTGGACTTGCCAATGTCCTCATARAGCAACAACAGGCACTTGTGTGGCACTGTAATGTTCGTGTCGTTGATCACCTGCGTTGTCATCGGGGAGAGAGTTGTCACATTATCCAGGGCTGTCACCAGGGCAGTTGARTGTGTGACGTTGTCAGACACAGAGAATGTCATCACAGACATCATGGACTGGAACATCCTGTCTTCTGTCTAGTCCAGGTCAAACAGTGCAAGACAATCACAGCAGAGAAAAAAAAGCAATATTAAATCAGTTGTGAGTCAGAGCTAAAAAAACAGATCCTTGATATTAGGCCCCTGCACAAATGCTTCCGGCTTGGTACAGCCAATTATCACCATGTCAAAGGCTGTATTACACAATGAAATGCCTCCTGCCCTAAGTCTGCACAGTCATTAGGGTGGTCAGTACAAAGCCACACTCTGATATCAGAGTAACAAGCACCTTCAAAAGGGGTTGTGTGGGATTAAATTTTGTGACTCTTTGAGCTCTGGCAGATTCCTGGAAGAAATCAAGACTCAACAGCAATATATGGCATTATTAGATGGAGACAAAAACCCTGTTTTACCAGGACACTCATCATTCTACATCCCAAGAYCAAGAAGTGACAGTCASTGATTTGAYTTCAACTACTGCAAAGAAAAGATGRAGGCCTCTACCTAAAACCTATTGCTGTTACCAACCCCGAAGTCTGAGAGCAGGGAGAGCMTCACATACACCCACCTAAAGGAACTGTACAGAGCCTTAACCTTTCAAACCCAACACTGGCAAAAAACAAGATTCAGCATTCTTTTTCTAACCTTCTGCAAGACACCAGAACTATTCTGTTTTTGTGCAAATATCTTCCCACCCTAAAGCAGAACCCTCATTGTTAAGGCATTTCAGTAGTTACAAGCTGAATATAAACACAGGGTCCCATCACCCCTCCTGGCAATCCSAAAAGAAGCGATCACAGACAACCCACAGATGCAAAATAGATAAATCTCTGTCAGCCAACATCTTAAAGATGCATATTGCCAGAGACAGCACTTGAGCAGTCTGTGTTATAGCTAATCCAGGATTTATCTCAAAAAAAATTTCCTCCCTGTTTGACTCCAACCCTGACTTGGGCGGTGAAGACTGACAGCCCCCATGACAGGGCTCAGAAGGTATTTTCCCTTAGAGGTTCTGKGTGACTCACAAACTGGAAAGAACCAGCACAGCCCAGTGTAATCTGCTGAGATTTTAGAGTTCAGCAGCATCTTCTCCACAAATTGCTCGAGACTGTCAGTCACAGGCTCTTCTTTCYCTTCAGAGGCTGAGACTCTTCCCAGGTTCTCTAAGGAGCAAGGGAATCATCCCACCCTCAGCCAACAAACCCTCCCTTTGATTCATCCTTGCTGACAGATATTCCCTGAGCTGGGATTTTCTTTCRTGACTGCCATGTGTTGTGCTGCACGAGAGGCATCACAGTAAATAAATACACAGACCTGGAAGGAGCAGCTTCRTGCCAAGATGGCAAAACCTGGGCCAAAAAATTGTACTTCTAAGTAGAGGTTCCAGCAAACAAGCTTTACATTCCAGACTTTTCTCCAGAAGTGTCCTCTCTTCCCTCCAGCTTCTCACTTCTCTGAATTGATACCGTTAAGAAGGATTTTCTCCTAACAATTTTGTTCCATTCTCTTCCTCTCTAAGATCACTACATCTCAGTAGCAGCAAGGGCAAGTATGGTCACATATGCCGTACATGGAAAAATTTCTACATGGTTTTAAAAAAAGCTGGGAAAAAAGGAGAGAAAAACCTCACAGACCACGGGCAGAATAACATCACCAACTGTGAACTATCACAACCTCCTACCCYAGTAACTCTTTTGGGACACAGAATTCCATCTGCCTGTCACACTGAAAAGAGCTCAAGTATAAAGCTGGGAGAGATTTACATTAGCAAAACAACTTCTTATGAAAAGAGCAAACAGGCTCCATTATTTTTCTCTGGAAGCCAGCACTGTCATGCAACAGCAGCTGCTGATAACGAAAGGAGTTGGCCACACGTAACAGAACTCCAGTCACGAGGCCTCAAAGGGCAAAGTAGAATCAAGTTCACCTCTCAGCCAGGCTGCTCGATACAGCCAGTACTTGTATTCTTCCTCCCCAGATAAAGCATACACAAAGCAGAGCAACAGAACATCCAACAGGATAAGAGAGGGCAGCCCAGGCCATCAGACACACAGCATGGTAGTCATGCTTTCCTAATAGCTAAGGCCTACAGCAAGGATGTGGAGAGCTGGCCCATTCCTGTCCAAATCAACAGCAAAAACTCCACAGCAATAGGATGAGGAATTGATGGAAAGAATCCACCTAGGGGTTGTCATCCCCAGCAAGACTGCTCCTTACAGCATGCTAGTCCTAAATAAATCCAGCCAGCTGAACATATCCAAGAGATCACTCACCACACCCTGCCTCCACTGGGACTGCTCGCTTCAGCCAGCCCAGCCCATGCAATGGGGGCAAAATCTCTCCAGAGCCACATAAAAAGAAACGGTTCCTGCAGTCGTGGTCTCTCTTTTTCATCCAGCAGGCAGCTCCATACACCAGAAAACAAAATAAAATGTCTTTCTACACTCTAGATGAAGTCAGGCTGACATGGTCAAGGCCAACTCCTCAGTCCAGGCCSTGGACAAGCTGCATTTGGACCAAGAACATGTGCATGATTCCTGCAGTGACAGAGTGCTGGGAAAGGCTCGGCTGCACCTTCAGGGAAATGTTATCTCACCAATGGATATTGTTCCTTGATTCACAGCATTGAAACAATATCAGAGCTCAGTGAAATTCAGAGCTCACATCACTCGCAATTGCCTGTGCCCTCAAAGCCCACCTACAGARAGATGAATTACACATTGCCAGAATATCAGCTCTAATGAAAAACTGAAACTTTTCTTCCTTTCTGCAAACAGAATCAGAAAGTCCCTTAACTACAGGTCATGGTRAGGTTAAGATAGCTCCCTACAATACTATTTGTGCAATAAAAATTGCACTGACCAGAYCCCTGCTTCAACAACTTAAATGTTTAAAAAAAAAAGCACAATACACAAAAAGTTTTTTAAAACATTTTAAAAGCGCCTTTTTTTTCCTCTTCCCTTTTACAGAAGGCTCTTCAACCCTCACTTTAGGTCACAACAGTTGCATTTTTCGTTTCACTCTTAGAATACAAGGCAGGGATTTTCCCTAAGTGATCGAGGTGCTCCTTTCCAGTTTGATTCTCACATCTCSTTCTAAACTTAGCTTAAAAAGAAAACAACTGCAACACGAAATATAGGGAAAAAAAAAAAAAAAAAAAAAAAAAAAAAGCACAAAAAAAAAAAAAAAAAAAAAAAAAAAAAAAAAAAAAAAGAAAAAAAAAAGAAAAAAAAGTATCAACACCAAGCCAAAACCTCAGAGGCAGAGAACCCTGGCCCAGAGGCGGATTTCAGAAATCACTATCCCGAGGTTTTTGCTGTTTTGGTTTTGATTCCTCTGGAAGGCGGGGGCACAACACGCAAGAAAAGTAGCAGTGCGCGGTCCTTCGCTCCAGGCTGGCGAGGACGTGCTGCCTGTTTGCCAGGCTGCCAAAGCAGCAGAGCTGAACCCCCACGGCAGTTCCATCGCCCCGTTCAGCGGGGCAGAGGTGCCCCTGAGGCTCCTGCTGTGGAGGCCCTGGGAGGCCGCGGCCCCCGCGCAGCACGGCCCCGCCGCCTCGCTCTGAGGCGTTCCAGCATCCTCCCCTCCCGTCACCCCCTCCCTCCGGCCCCTCTCCGCTCGTACCCGCCAGGCCCAGCTCGCTCCCGGCCGCCGCCGCTGCTCAGTCCCGGGGTCCCGGCCCCGCCATCCCAGCCCGGCCTCACCGCTCCCCTCCGCCAGGGAGCGTCGCTGAAGAGCGGCCCGTGCRCAGCGCCGCGCAACCGAGCGGAGACACGGCCGCCACAACCGAGGCTTTTCGGCTGAGCCCGGGGGGTGATATTGAGAGACGGTCCCCGAGAGTRCGCCGGATGGACCAATCAGAGAGCAATCGCTATCAGAGGCTCCAGGAGAAATACGGAATGAGCCAATAGGAAGGGTGGAAAGGCGGGACTAAGAGAGAGAGGCGGCCGCGCCTTAAAGGAGCCTCGTCAGCGACCCGCCTATGGCTCCTCACCGGTGGTGGGAACAGTGGTGACGGCCAGGGAGGTGACCCAGGGCTCTGGAGGTGTCGGATCCGCCAATGCAGGGCAGGATCTGCCCTTTCCAGCCCGATCCCAACCCCCAGGCCAGCCCGCACAGCCCRACATCCCCACAAGCAGCGAGCGCCCTGCGATCCAGCACCCACCGTCACACACCTCCGGGGACAGCAGCACACACTTGTGAAGGAATTCTGTACAGCCTGCGCATCCAAGGCAGGGCAGTTAATAATTGARGGAGAGCCGATAATAAGTCCCTGCAGGGGAGAATGATTAACAACCTGGCAGTTTGGCTTTTGAGGAGAATTTAAAGCTGACTGAAGAAACTCAGCCTAGCTTGGACAACAGCTGCTAAAGAGAAACACTGTCAATAATTAGCAGGATTTGGAGGTGCAAATACCAGGCAAGCAGAAGAGACATTTAGTATAGTAAACAAGGAAGTAACTGTGACAAATGAGCCAAGATTTATATAGGAAATTAAAGGAAATAACTAGCTAAGCACCAGCACGATATTCTCASCAGTAAGAGCTGACTGACAGAGAAGTTTCAAGGAGAATGTTTGTTACCTGAGTCATTTCAAGGACTGGAGGATACATTCTGGCATGGTTTTCTACCTGTGGTTCTCCTGTGGCTGCAGGGATCGCTTGTGCAGGAATGCAGGGCTTTTGCTAAACTGAAGTTGGCTGTACAGAGCCTATGCCACTTTAGAAGATCCCGACACTGGTCAAGTTTGCACGTTTTTCTCTAGCAAACACCACACACAGAAGGCTCCAGGCCCTCCTCACATGTAGATCTTCCTCAGCTTGAATCTGCTGGATCTTCTTCTCAGGTCAATTTTTTCAGCTACAGCTCAGCAACCCTCATGAAGGAATTGTAGCCAGAGACTGCTTGCCTCAGCCCTATTCCTCTGATTTTCCACTGGGTCAAAACAGGTTTTCATGCAGGTGTCATGCCTTTGGAATGACACCTGGAGAAGCYAGTCCTTAGCTTGTCTCATCTCAAACTGTCGTTCAGATTAATGATATGTTGCAATATTTTGACGTGTTCTATTTATGGATCCAAGCTCAAAGGCTTGGCTGACAYCAAGATCTCTGAGTTACAGAAGGGACACTTCTGTTTCAAGAGAGGTGGAGTGTTTCCGCCTAAAAAGTGCCTTGGTAACAGACAAGTAAAATCCATGGCTTCTCATTTGTAGCCTCAGGCACTAACTAGTTGAACATGTTACCTCCCACATAACTGTGTCAAAAGGAGAGTTTTTGCTTTCTAATCCACCTGCTCTTCCCATCTGATTCACTTGGAGGTTAAAGCCCAGTATTTGGGACACCAGATCCAAAAGCTGTTTCATGGTCYGGAGCCTGCTGGTGCCACTGCACTGTGACACTTTAGCTCCTGCCTTTCTCACTGCTTATGTGAAACAGGAGCTGGGGGATCCACACTTGTGGTTCTCTTGAATTAACCAGCCCTGGCATGGTGTGTGCACACATAACTGCCCTCTCCTCACCACCGAGGACTGCTCCATGTCCTYAACTGCACACATCCTTCCACTTCAGCTGAGCAYTGCTGCTCTCTGCATCATCTCCTCCTACCAGTGCACAAAGATGGCAGGCCTCACTCCCTCTGTCCTTGCTGTGTCACTCGGTGTGACGCAGCAGCATGGATGTCTGGATGACTGTCCATCCAGCTGTCCAGTGCCTGGAGAGACAGTGGCACCCTGTGGTGACACCGGTCCATCACAGTGTGTCATCTGGGCCTTGGCAGACAGCACCACTCAGCCAAGTCCTGGGCCACCTTCCCTTACACCACAGAATCATTTAGGTTGGGAAAGACTGGACATTAGGAAAGAATTCTTCATTGGAAGGGTGCTCAAGTATTGGACAGGCTTCCCAAGGAGGCAGTGGAATCACCAACCCTGGAAGTGTCCAAAACCATGCAGATGTGGTTAGAGACATGGTTTAGTGGTGTACTTGGCAGGGCTGGGTTAACAGTTGGATCTTGGGAATCTTTTCCAACTTCATGGTCCTGTGATTCTGTGACCTCTAGGATCATCCAGATCATRGTGTCTCCAGGAGCCTACAAGTCGGGGAATCTTGGGGGAATCCCTGATTTTGTTTCACTCCAAGCACCAGCCAGCTTCTCGTCATCTGTCACAGAAGAGGCTGAGCCACTCTTCTCTTTATATCATGATGCTCCTGCTTTGCTATATTAGTGCCACCCTGAATCATCCAGCTGGGCTCCTGGAARAGCCTTTTCAGATTGTCAGCTGCCTCTTCAGTCACTTTTGTGTCTGGTGTCTCCTGTTTCAGGGTCACTGTCCCACGCTCAAGCACAGCCAAGAGCAGAAATAGCCTGATATTAAATAGTGGTCAGAAACCCTTCAGAGAATGCAGATCTCCAAAATCCAAACCACCTGCTGTTATGCAACACCCTGTGGTCCGGGAGGAAGCATTCCACCTCCTTGACAAACATCAGCCCRTTGCTCGTTTTGTCTCTCCTAAATTCCTTTCATTCTTTGTGGGACAGGTGCTCCTCTTCAGTCTTCAGTTCCTCTCCCAAATGGCATTTGCTTGCTGCACTGAACAGCTGGGGAGACAGATGTGTGTCCAGAACAGCTACCGTCAGCTCCCTGCTGCTTTTAGCACATACAGGCTCACATAAAAAAAAGCAAAAAAAAAAAAGAGCAACAAAATGCCAGTACTTCTTTCCCAGTTCTTGTAGTGTTAACAAGAATCAGAACAAAGACGATTCATCTAGGTCAGTGGCAAACCCGGTCAAGCTAGGCTTGATTTTAGCTGCCAAAGAGGCAGACTCGCGCACGGGAATTCACAGTGGGATCTYTCCCGTGACTCGGGTCACCGGCAGGAGCAGACCCCTTGAGCCCACAGAGAAATGCCCAAATGTTTGCCAAAGTTTGCTAACGCTGCCCACCRGGAGCCCGAASCCCTTGGCSGGSGGTGGCCGGGGGTGGCCGGGGTGGCCCTGGGTCCCGCCCTCTCCAGGCTCCGCCCCGTCTCATCCATATTCACAAGGGGCGGGGCCCGTCCCGGGCTATCCATTATTCATGAGGTTTCGCGCGCTTTTGTGACCACGTGGGGCGATTTTCGCGCGGAATCCAGCGGGGCAGGAAGCGGCGGAGATGGCGGTGAGCGGCCGGGCCGGGCCGGGGGCCGGGTGTTGGGGTGCCGCCTCGGCGGGGTGCAGCCCTGGGCTGCCCTGCTGCGGGACACTTGGCGCTGCGGCCGTGCGGGGTGCAGAGAGGATTTGGGGGTGCGGGAGGGCAAAGGGGGTGCGCTCGGCGGGGACTCCCGAATCGCCGGCCAGTTTCCTGCGTGCCGAAGAGCGGGCCGGGGCAGGATCGGACCCTTCCCCTCTGCTCCGGCTGCGCTGCTCGGAGGATGGATTTACCCCYGTCTCCCCACTCCATGTGTTTCTATTGTCATTTGCGAGGAGGGCTAATTAATAACTCATCGCTGATCTGTGTGCCCCCCTTGTGATCGCGGCCTGCACCGCCCAGGCCCCTGGCGGCACTGATCCCCTGTCCGCCCTCACCCCGCTCCTGCCCTTGCAGGACTCSTCCGAGTCGCAGGCAGCGGTGACCAGCCCCGTGCGGAGCTCCCGCCGCGGCGATGCCTTCACCTCCAGCCCCGGCCGGGACCTGCCCCCCTTCGAGGATGAGTCCGAAGGGCTCCTGGGGACCGAGGGGTTCCCCGAAGAGGAGGAAGAAGGGGAGGAGCTCATTGGGGAAGGGATGGAAAGGTAAGGAAACCGTTTGGGGGGGATTGTGTCCGGCGATGGGGTGCTGGGGATGTCAGTGCAGCCAGCGACGGGGAGGGGGCTCTCATGCCTTGTGGGATCTCTCTGCTGTGCTGATATCTGGGGTGAGGGGGCTGAAGAACTGCTGGGCAATGGAGAAAGGTCAGGGTATGGTGTCATTTGAATCCTGTGAGAACTGAGACAAGTGYCATCATGGTCCAGGGTGGGTACACCAGGATCTACCTGCATGCATAATGTGTATCCAGCCCAGCTCTTTACTCCTGCAGACAGGAATTTTGATATTTCAGGCCTCTGGCAAGCTGAACTTTGCAACGCAAAGTCTTGAATGCTGGCACTCCTAACCAYGGGGCTGGAGCCCTTGGCATTCCCAACAGGGGTGCTGGAGCCCGTTACTGCAGGGCATCTTCCGTTGGGAAGTGCCTTCCTGCTCAACACATTCTGTCCTGCTGCAAAACAGCTGTCCTGACACCTGCCCTGCAGTAGCCAGAGAAGGGCTGCAGAATTGCTTTCCTGGCCTGATTGTGTGCTCTGTGTGTGTGCTAGGGACTACCGGCCCATCCCGGAGCTGGATGTGTATGAAGCAGAGGGCCTGGCCCTGGATGATGAAGATGTGGAGGAGCTGACTGCCAGCCAGCGGGAAGCTGCTGARCGAGTGATGAGGCAGAGGGACCGCGAGCTGGAGCAGGGCATGGGCCGAATGAGGAGGGGGCTGCTCTATGGTAAGTGCAATGAGCTGTACCCAAGTCTGCTACCCTGTGTGCTTGATGAGAATACAGTCCTTTTGGGGGAGCTGGGCTCTTTACCCTCAGGTTAGCAGGGAGGTCTCTAGAGCTCCAGTGTATTTGGGCTCTTAGTGAAATCACTGGTTGTGTGGGCTTGGCTGGATTCCCCACTGCATGATCCCTTTCCTTGGGGCTTCCTAGGAGCTCATTTGGTGTGTTCTTCTGGTGACTGCTGAAACCAAGTCAGGATCCTGGGCCTGTGTCAAAGGGTTGGGTTCTACAGC